AAAAAAAAAAAAAAAAAAAAAAAAAAGAAAAAAAAACTGATCAATAAATACATACTAACAGCAACAACATAATAATGATAATAAATAGGAATGACTATCGTTTATATAAGATAAATATATTAAATGTAAATGATGTGTGTGTTATAAATTTGAAAGATAATCATCTATTGTATTGACTAAGCAAACGATTTATTTACATATATAATTATTGCATTTGCCGCACCCAACTAATTTGTAAGAGAAAAATAATCAATATAGTAGTGAAATAAAAACAAAAAGGATAATAATAATAATAATAAAAAAATAAAAAAAAAAATTAATTAAAGCAAATTTATACGAACGAAGAAATTGTTTAATAGAAATGTTGGATTCTCTTTTTTTTTTGTTCATGATAATAATAATAAAGATATTATAAATTTATTATATACCAATTAAATTATGTAATATTATATTGAGATACATACATTTGTTCTTATTACTGTGCATTTGAATTAAATATATACATATATATATATAAATATTTAAACATTTATAATTATAAATAGATACTTTGTTATGTTATAATATAATATTGTTGTGTTAAATGTTATAATAATATTAATTATAAAATTCCCCAAAAAATTAAAATTAATTAAATTAAATTAAATTAAAAATAAATTTCTATTATATATTATAATAAAAAAAAATGATAAAAGAGTATTTAGAATATTTTATTTTATTTTATATAAATATATTATTCATATATTACAATAATTAAATAAATTTATATAATAATATTTAAAATATTTTTTATTTTATTTTATTTAAAAATATTATTTTATAATAATATAATATATTAATATATAAATATAATTTTATATTGTATAATATATTATATATATATTTAATATTTTAATGTTATATATTATTATATTATATATTTAGAACATTTTATTTTATTTTGTTTTTTTTTTATAATAATATTTAGAATATTTTATTTTATATTATTTTTTAAATATTATAATACTAATAATTAATTTTATATAATATTATAGTATATTTAATGTTATAATTTTTTCATAACAATATTTAGAATATTTATATTGTTATTATTATTTATAAATATTATTAATATATTATATAATTAAAATAATTCTATATTATAATATAGAATATATTATAAATATTTAACATTATAATTTTACATATTAATATTGAAAACAATTTATTTTTTTTTTTTTTTTTTTTAATTACTATCCACTACAATATATTGTTCATAAAAATACAAAAAATTAAAACAAGATACTAATGGAAGAAAATCATTAATTATCAAAACTTATGAGGAAATGATTTACGAGCTTATAAGTTGAACTTTAAAAGAAAAAAGAAAAAAAAAAAAGAAAAAACTAAAAGAAAGGTCATGTTATGGGGTGAAGTGGGGTGTTATCGTGATGTAGTAGGGGTGAAGGGAGACTTTTAAAAAAGTCTCTCAAGTCTCATCCCATTTTTTTTCTTTTTCTTCCTTTCTTCCTTTCTTTCTTTCTCTCTCTCTCTTTTTTTTTTTTTTGTCTTGTTCATCACACGACTGTGCAACGAAGGTATAAATAATTTAGGTTTTTTAAACACGAGACCCACTGGGAAAAAAAAATTCTTTTGGACTTTCTTAAGAACACGCTCAAAGTAACGTGGCCTGAAAAACGTACTAGAATGATTCAAGGTCCGCTTAATTGAACATGCTAATCCCACTCTACTGAAAAGACCCTTTTTTCTTCCTTTTTTTTTTTTTCTTCTCTTACGAATGAAATGTTAAAAACCACCGAGGACCGATTATTGTTCCCATTTCAAATGATTCTTATTTTTCCTTTTATTTTATTTTTTTTTTTGTTTTCATAAGATCATTCGAATTTTTTTTGTTTTTTTTTTTTTTTTAGTTTGTTTAAATTTTGTCCTTTTTTCTCTCTTCATTTTTTATTTTACATAATTAATAATACGAAATTATAAATATACAGATTTAAATTATTAATAAATTATATTAAAATCGTATCAATGTTTTAATTAATTAATTAATTAATTAATGATTTATATTTAAATTAAAAACCTCAAGATTTTATTTGTTTAATTTTGGTCTTGTTTTTTTTTTTTCTTTTTTTTTCATAGAGTGATTCGAAATTTTTTTATGTTTTTTTTTTTATTTTCTTTTTTTTTCAACTTTTTTCCTCTCTTTTTCATTTTTTATTTTACATAATTAATAATACGAAATTATAAATATATAGATTTAAATTATTATTAAATTATATTAAAATCGTATCAATGTTTCAATTAATTAATTAATTTATTAATCAATTATTGATTTATTTAAATTATAAACTACGTTTTTTATTTTTTTTTAATTTTCTTTCCCCTTTCTATTGTTTAATATTAAAAAAAAACAAAAAACAAAAAAAGAAAGATAAAACACAGAGTATATTCATCTCGTGGCAAATAAAAGAAAAGAAGAAAAAAAAAAAATAGGACGAGTGTTTTATCCAGTACAATCGATAAATCAAATTAATCTTTTAAATCCTAAGCTATTTTTATTTTTTTTATTTTACGAATGTTGAAAGAATCAGATACTTTATTTATCGGTTAACTGAAAACACAATACAGTTTATTTAAAAAATTTATTATTTATATATATATATATACTTTTTTTTCTGTTATTAGATTAATAATTGTTTCAAATAAATTATATTTATTATTTCTTATTATCTATCATTTTTTTATATACACGTGATTAGAAAAATATCTAGTTAATGTTAATTAAATATCAAATATATATTTTAGACGATTAACGTTTAAACGTAAAATCAAAGTTTGAAACAAAGTTGAACAAAATTGTTTTTCAAATTATTTTAAAAATAAAAAAATTAAAAAAAATAAATACCTAAGAAAAATCGTAATATATCATCATTCTCATCATCATCATCATCATCATCATCATCATTATCATCATCATCATCTTATTGTTTCGATGTTTACAACATGACAAATTAAAAATGATAGGTTTGAAATAAAAATGAACGATGAATTTAAAACAATAGGGTGAAATAGACGTAGGTATTTCTGTTCATTCTTCTCTTCTTCTATTCTTTTCTTTTTTTTTTTCTTTTTTCTTTCCTTTATTAATACGAGAAATGACAAAAGGAAAACTTGACAGACAGACAGACAGACAGACAAAAAACAGAAATGACAAAAAAAT